TGTCAGAGCTATATGTATACCAAAGTAGTCCCACCTCAATGTCTAAATTCAAAATAGAACTATATGTGTACTGTACTAACAACAGATTACAGAGTAATAAAAGAAGTAACCTAATCACTAAAATTAAAATGCATTTCATCAACGCAATGAACTAGTGTATCTGTATGTAAGAGAATTTTCAAATAGATCAGCATGTTAGAACTCTAATGTAGACTTCGATGTTCAAAATAAACTGATGTCATGACTGTATTTGTATAGGAAGAACACCGTGACAAATATGAATACCCATACACCCATTGGTTAATATATTGAAATTTTGAGATACGGGGAGAATTTAGCGTGAACCAAATGTACTTACATCACAAGTAGCATCAAATCACCCTAAATTTACTAATGTGACGAACAATAAGAAATTTGAAACAACCCATCCAACATTGGACTACATGAGAAACCAGGGGAGCCAAGTCTAAATGAAAACATTAAAAAATAATGGAGTTTATGCTAACCCTCAATGCAACGGATGTGCAAGGACTATGTTTTCCTAACAATCCGTCTCAACTTACCCATCCACACCTGGGAGTAGAAACCTCAACCCTAACAAAGCAGATCTGGAAGTGTGTAGCAAAAATGGGATGAAAAAGACGGGAACATACCGAAAATGACGTTGCAGGGAGGGCGGAAGCAGAGAAGGTGACAAATCCTGTGCCTCGAAAGGCGGCGTCCGTGGTGCCAGCTAAAATAGAAGTAGGGAAGCAAGGATTTGTAAACCCTAACAGCAGGGATGGTCACCGACCAACGATTAAGGGGAAGGCGTGGAGTGGACCACGTACCCGAAAGGGCGGATCTCCCGCCGTAGGTGACGGAGGGGCTGGATTTGCTTGGTAAGACGGCGATGACGAAGCGGTGACTCGGAGAAGGCGACGCCGAACCAAATCCGGCGAGACACCCCGTGTGGATGTCGCCTTCCTTCTCAGGCCCAAGGGATGGGAGGGCTTTAGGATGGAGGCCGGCCGGCGGCGATGCGGGATTAACGGCGTGGGCGAAGAAGTCACCTCGACGGCGCGGGCAAAAAAGTCACCTCGACGACGGCTGGGAGCGACAAAACCCTAAGCGCGAGACTGAATGCGAGATGGGAGAGAGAGTGAGGATGGCGACAACTAGATCTTCTAGAGCAGCCGAACGGCTGGTGTTCCCTAGGCGACGAGGCCCAACCAACTCCCGTCAGTTTCAACCACAAAATCGAGCAGCCGAACCGGGCACTGCGTCGCATCACTCATTCACCAAAGTCGACTCCTACAGCTCACCACGCTAGTAAGTCAACAAGCTAGCTGCTCGCCAATGATGGCCGCCGCCAAGCATGTCGTGCTGTTCCCGTTCCCCGGTCAGGGCCACCTCTCCGCGTTCATGTCCCTGGCCGACCTCCTACACGGCGGTCTCCCCGATGCCGCCATCACGCTCGTCTCCACCCCGCGCAACGTTTCCGCGCTCCGGACTACCGCGTGGTCCAACTCGTCGTTCCTCGGCTTCCACGCGCTGCCCTTCACCCCGGCGGACCACGGCCTGCCTCCGGACTGCGAGTCCTCCGACGCCGTACAGCCTGGCGCCATCGCGGGTCTCCTCGTGGCGTTCGAGTCGCTCGAGGCCGCGTTCGACGACTACCTCTCCGCCGCCGTCGCCGCCGCCGCCGGCGGTGGCCACGACGTCTGTGTCGTATCCGACCCGTTCACGGCGTGGACGGTGACCGCGGCGCGGCGCCGCGGCTGCGCGCACGCCTTCTTCGCCTCCTGCGGCGCGTACGGCAGCGCCGTCGTGCACTCGCTCTGGAGCCACCTGCCCGTCCGCCCCGACCCGGACACCGGCCGCGTCCACCTGCCCGAGTACCCCGAGGTCGTGATCCACCGCTCGCAGCTCTCCAAAAACGCGTCCGCCCCGCCCGCCGTCGCCAAACGCGCCGCGGGATTCTACGGCCGGCAGATCCCTCTGGGCTACGAGACGGGTGCGGTGCTCGTCAACACCGTGGAGGAGTTCGAGCCCACCGGTCTCGACATGCTGCGGCGCACCCTCAAGGTCCCGGTCAGGCCCATCGGCCCTCTCGTGCGCGCCACCAACCTTCCAGTCTCGCCGGCGGCCGAGGCCGCCGTCGTGAGCTTCCTGGACTGCCACTCGCCGTCGTCGATGCTGTACATCTCATTCGGCTCTCAGAACTCCATACGAGCAGAGCACATGGCGGAGCTGGCACTGGCGTTAGAGTCAACCGGCCGGCCGTTCGTCTGGGCTGTGAGGCCGCCGGACGGACACGACATCAAGGGCGACTTCCGGGCCGACCAGTGGCTGCCGGACGGGTTCGAGGAGAGGGCGCGCACGAGCAACAGAGGACTCCTGGTACGCGGGTGGGCACCGCAGGTGAGGATCCTGGCGCACGCGTCGACGGGGGCCTTCCTGAGCCACTGCGGGTGGAACTCGGTGCTGGAGAGCGTGACGCACGGCGTGCCGATCATCGGCTGGCCGCTCGCCGGCGAGCAGTTCTACAATGCCAAGATGCTTAAAGAGGAGTGGGGTGTGTGCGTCGAAGTGGCGAGGGGGAACATGGAGGACACTGTGGTGAACAGGGCCGCGGTCGCCGACGTGGTGGAGACGGTGATGGGCCAGACGGCGAAGGCCGCGGAGATGCGGCGGCGGGTGAGGGAGATCAAGGAGGTGGTGGAGGGGTCCTGGAACGAGGGAGGCGGGTCGTCGAGGAAGGCGATGGAGGATTTCTTGCGGGCGATGGATCTCCGGTGAAGTGAACAACTTCGTGTACTGCTCGATCTTTACCTGAATCTTGTTCGCCATTGCAAATGGTGCTATGTTAATCATTCCTTGCAGATGCCATTGCAAATGATGTATGATGTGTGAAGGATTTAAATTCTGCTAAAATTAATCTTTCCTCGTAGATCTTTTTTGTTTGCTGCTCCAATTCCCGGTTCCCCGCTCGTCTCGATTGATCGTGACTTGCGTGAGTCCTGGATTTCTTCTGTCCCGCACGGTCATTACACGCGTCTTCAACGGCATCTCGTGGATGCCAATACCAAATTGATACAAGCCCAATGATGTGTGGGTGGGCTTCTGGCCCATTTAGACTACCATCCCTAAATCTGTCTCATAGATTTTTTTTTAAGAGCGGCCAGGATGGTGTGGAGTCCAGATCGGACGGCAAAGCTGTGGTCTCCGCCTTTTAAAAGACTGGCCGACTCCACTGCCTTACCCCTCCGTCTCTTTCCAGTGCCGTCCTTTCCTTACCCGGCGGCTTAAACCCTAGTTCCCATTCCCGTCGCCGCTTCAGCGCCGCCGCCGATGGAGTTCTGGGGTGACCTCCTTTCTCTCTCTCTCTCTCTCGCAAACTCAATTCAGGCTTTGTTTCTCGCAAACTCAATTCGCTGCGATACCTGTGCTATGTTTGTTTTGCTTTGCGATACCTTTATTTGATTTTTGGATGTTCGCATGGGTCGCTGACTCGCGAGGAATCCGAGACCTCCGACGTCGCGGCGGGGAGCAGGCATGCGAGCTCCTTGCGACGGTGGTAGTGCAGTTGTCGGTAGGGCGGAAGCCGATGGGCTGGCCTGTGCCGGGCGCGCCGGGCCCCTGCGGCCCTGCGCCTGCTGCTGCACGCGGGCCCTCCATCGCCGCCGACCGATTCTTTCTGTGTGACCCGTATCAACCCGTCCCAACCCGTCTTGTTTATAAACCCAACCCGCCTCAACACAATTTAGTTGAACCAATTTTCACCCATCCCCACACATTCCATCACAGAACCTGCCCCCAAAAACTCCATCAGGCCCCGCCCCATTAGCAGGCCTAGTTTTAGGGCTCTGTTTTAGGTCCCTGGGAATCATGGGTAGTGCTTGATGCGTTACTACTTACTACTGCATCATGGGGTGCTGCTGCTTTCTTTCCTTTTCCAGTTTATATTTAGTTATATTTATTTGACGTGTGATTATTATGTGATGTGATTCTTTTGGTCTACTATTGGTTGCAATGTGGCATTGCCTATTTCCAGTATGTTAGGAAAAAAGTAGATTGTTTGTTTAGGGTCTTATTATAGCAAGTGATGCCATTGAATTTGGATGTTTGTTCTTTTACTACCTTTGTTAAACAGCATCAGATCATTCGTAATGTAACTTACCTCAGATTGTTCCGTGATTCTTTTGTTCTACCACCAGTAGCAATGTAGCATTGCCTTTATGCCCAGCATGACAGGAAAAAGTAGATTAAATGGTTGAAATCATACATAAACGTGTTGGTCTTGTTGTAGGACGTGATGCCCCTAAATTTGTTGTTTTGTTTTGCGCATTGCGGGATGTTTGTTCTTTTGCTACCATTGTAAAACAGCATCAGATTTGTATTCTTAATGTAACCTATCTCAGACTGCTCTCCGTTTTGCAGGTCTCGAGGTCAAGCCTGGATCCACTGTTAAGTGTGAGCCTGGACATGGCTTTATCCTGCACCTTTCCCAGGTAGATTCGTTGCTTTGTCTATGTGTACACTTACTTTCCACTGTTGGATTTGCACTATGTGTACTTACTTTCATCTGTTGGATTTGCGCTATGTGTAAATTTCCTACTTTCCTCTTTCCTCTGTTGGGTTTGCTCTGTATACTTAATTGGATTTAATCCAGGGGCTGCTCTTGGGGAATCAAAGAAAAGTGACAGTGCCTTGATGTATGTCAAAGTCGATGATCAGAAGCTTGCCATTGGAACCCTCTCTATTGACAAGTACCCACAAATACAGTTCGATTTGGTTTTCGATAAAGAGTTTGAGCTGTCACACACATCAAAAACTACCAGTGTGTTCTTCTCTGGTTACAAGGTTGAGCAGCCAATGGAGGAAGATGAATATCCTTTTTGGTGTCGAATTATTTTTTAGCGTTGAATTAGTTATATTTTTATTTTCAGTAGGAGTGATCAAAACATCTTTTTTGTGGAGTATTGGTTTCCTTGACCTCCTTTTTGCCTTCCTCCACAATGGATCTTGATTCTGAAGATGAAGATGAGGAGCTGGACATTCCAGTAATCAAGGAAAATGGTATATATATCTTCCCTGTTTCTTTTTTCTGGTGGTGGTGGTATTTTTTTTCCTGGTGGTGGTGTTGGGGGTTGTTTGGATTATGAACACATCTACTTGTCTCTAGGCAAAGCTGATGGGAAGGAGCAGAAAAATCAAGAGAAGGCAGTTGCGGCAGCAAAATCTAGTCTTGTTTCTAAGAAAAGCAAGGATGATGATGATTCTGATGAGGATGAGACTGATGATTCTGATGAGGGTGAGGGATTATCTCCTGAAGAAGGCGATGATAATGTGAGTGTGGAAGGATGGAGAAATGGTTTGTCTGCATGTTGGGGTTGTTCCATATTGATTAACTTTTGATTTTTCCTGTTTTAGGATTCAAGTGATGAGGATGATACAAGTGACGATGAGGAGGAAGAGACTCCAACTCCTAAGAAGGTATGTGCTTCATGGATTTAATCCTGGTCCTGTTTTAAATTCACTAATCTGTTGTTATTAGATGATATCAATGTGTTGATTTTTTTTTTCAGCCAGAGGCAGGCAAGAAGAGACCTGCTGAAAATTCCCTGACTCCTCTTTCTGATAAGAAAGCAAAGGTTGCCACACCGTCAGCCCAGAAGACAGGTGTGTAGTCAGAGTTAGGCCTTTCTGCCATGGATCTGTTGCTATGCTAGAGTTAGGTTTTTCTGCCATAGAACTGTTGCTATGAAAACATGTATTCCTTGTGCAGGTGGCAAGAAGGGCGCCGTTCATGTGGCAACTCCACACCCAGCAAAAGGCAAGACCCCTGCTAACAATGACAAATCAAAGGATAAGTCTCCAAAATCTGGTGGCTCGGTCCCTTGCAAATCGTGCACCAAGTAAGTCAGGCACAGTTTTATGTGGTGAGCCTATTTGGTTATTTGGTGAAATATCACTGTATTGATCCTTGGCCTCTGTTCGGTGTTCTGTCCAGGACATTCAACAGTGAGATGGCCCTTCAGGCTCACTCGAAGGCGAAGCATGGTGCCAAGTAAGTGGCAGGGCCAATCGAGCCACGAAGGCGAAGCATGGGAGTTTCAAGTTAGTCTGGAAAGAATGTCGGTGGTAGTAGGCCTTGCCTTATTTTGCTTAGAGACTAGTGGCTATGTGATGGATGCAGCAAAACAAGGCTGTGGTGTGTGAACTTTAATATTCTGGGTTGTCCAGCTGGTAGTATTTGGATTTGTGTTGTGCTGCGAGTTGATCGTTTTTTTTCCTATGGTGAGATAGTAGCATGGTCCTTTGTCGCACTGGTACCTGTCGCATTCTATTTCTTGTAGTCGTGCTTTTCTGTTACTGTTTGAACCCGTGATCGGTGATGCTTAACCCTCCCAGTCCATCCATCCATTTAAGTCAAAGCCTGATGATGCTTAACCAGGCTAGCACTAGGAGCACAAGTCCAGTCCAGCAAAACAAATCAAACACCTTGGTTACGCAGGCTACCCAAAACCCATAAATGTTCCTCTGGCGTGCAAACCGACGCTCTGTTCGTAGTTCGTTTGGTTTATAAGCCGTATTTTTTTTAGTTAACGAACAATATTTTTTCTCACAACAAATACTTTTAGTCATGGCTTATCAGGGCACAAACATTCAAACTTAAAGCAACTGGACAAGTACCAAACTTTCAAACTTAAAGCAACCGGACAAGTTCACTTTGATTGTGCTTCCATTCGTCGTCCTTGGCATCATCAGCACCACCCGAGGAGTTGAGTGCATTCAGCCTCAGGCTAGGACCAACAGTTAGCACAAATTACAACGATAGAAGAAACAACACACATCAGACTAGTCTCACAGGTGCCCAGTTTGCTTCTTACATCACCCTACAGTAATTTAAATTCTGAAATGCAGATGCTAAATAATGATACAGCTGATATATTCCACCATGCCAATTATGTGCCAGAAGTGAGGGATGAGTACCTTAATAGCAGGCAAATTCTTAATAAAGGATACCATCCACGGTGACAGCACTTTGAGCATGTCTTCAACCTCTTTCGTGTACCCACTGCCAGTTGCTGCAAACTCTGGGCCTGTCCAAGAATCAACAATGATTTTCCACTCTGTTTGCCATTGCTAGCCAAGGGGGAAAGTAAACAGCAATGTCCCATGACCAATTACACCACAAACTGAACTCCCCTTCCCCTTCATATAGACTGCAAATAAAACGGCTAATACATCTGGAACACAAAAATGAACGGACTCATGCTTATCGGTCACAAGAAATGAGCTCAACGATATGAAAACTTTGGGGTACTATAAAATTCTTCCATACAAATACCTTTCATCTGTCTTGGATCATAAATAATCATTTGAGAAGTCTCAGTTCTCAGGACGAACAACTTTGGCAGATTGTGGCAACAACCTCGCACTCGCACTAAATCCTGCAGCACCTTTGGTCTGAGCCAGTGACAGTAAACACACTCATCAATTTTCCCATATATCATGTTTATTAAGGCATCCACCATAAGTAAGCGGTTACTTAGCATGCTACTGCTGTTTAGCATAGCTGATTTGTCAACCTTCTTAACAATGTTTTTCGCAAGCCACTGCTGCGATAGTAAAATTAAGAAAGCGTAAGCAAGGCTTCCCCATGGAACATTCTTTGTGGATTGAACTCAGGGTGTGCTCCCAGCATTCTCCAAGGGCTGTGAAGTGTGAAGTTTGCTTGTTGAGCCATGTTAACAATTGCAAAGTGTTCCCAAGAAGTGACGTGGCTTGAGACCTCTTGCGCAAAGGGACAGGCGAGGGTGTAGCGCGTGCTAATATTCAACACCATATTTCAAGCTCAAGGCAATGATTAGGTCCAAATGCTGAGCTCACCCGCCAATCTCACTTCGTTTTCAGTCTTTCAGCAACGCAACTAATGGCAGTATTGTATGTTGTGTTAATTTTGGCCTGCAATATAACATGATAGGTTCAAATCCTGAGCTCACTGGCAAATCTCAACGATGAATAACACTCTGAACCTTGGATGCCTATGGTTGTTACCTGTAACAATGCTATATGATACTCAATAAGAATCTCAACAATTAATGTCACAAATCAGCTGCATAGATGTGGATAAAATAAAGGCAACGTTTGTCACAATGCGACTGCTGACAGATATTGAAACGTTCTTAGCTGGCTGGATAGATAGGCGATTGTCGTGTAATCTGTTCCTCTCTCATGCTTTCACGTGCTACGACATGACTACATGAGTGATTAGAACATTAGATACTAAGTAATATAGATCTACTTGTCCAAGCTAAGACTAAGACGACTGCGCACATAATTCACATTTTGGCAGCTCTTTGACCATAGTTCATGTAGAAAAATGCCTGCAATAATACCCCACCAGCCACAACATATAGTACTAAGCAGGAGATAACGGTTATGACACTCAACTATACAAAAGGTCTGTCCATTGTGATTCTGAAAATGGATATGATGAATTGATGACCACATTGGCCACATGCGCAGATGTGCTGAAATTCAGGAATTTTTTGGTGCCGGTCTATCAGTTGACCATAATGGTATCATGAGAGCGTGCTTAGCTAGCTGTATTAACAAAACATTATGCGAGAACGGCGTGGGATTGGTGATCTGTTCATATCATGCTTTCACGTGCTGCAACTGCAATAGTTTGATCACAGAAATTCACTAGCATAATGACTCCTCATATATCGAATGCGTACTCAGTTTTATGAAAAACATGTTTAATGTAAATAACCTAGTCGGGCTTCTATCAGTAGGTGAGTTTACCATATTTTGCATAAAAAAACATTCCAGGGTTTGGTGCGACTGTCACCTGCCACGGCTCCACGACTGTAGTCTTACTCTTACCGTAGCGTGCTGGAGCCGCTGGGCTCTAGATTGTCGGGTCCTGAACTAACGCTAGCGTCTTGCCAGCAAGTATGGAACAAGTGTAACTTTAATACTTTTCTATTCTCTTAATGAAAAAAAGGCTACGACCTGCTCGAGAAAAAAACCATAGCATGCTGGAGCCGGTGAAACCACATATAGTAGCTCTGTTAGATTTCCTTTTTCCGGTTTATTTTGGATATGACAGAGAAAAACCTATTTACTATAGTATTAAATACTGCTGCTACAGTGACATGACAGGCAAAAGGGCACGTTTGGGTACGCTCTGTGAGCAACTTCGCTTATGCGGCACCCAAACGCCCACTAGAGCAATTTAATTAAACAAACGGCGAAAAGCAAACTTACTTCAGCTCTATAAGGGTTGTAATTCACCTACCCAATAATTCTAATTGCTATGATCTCTAGTCACACAAAAGACTAAGTCACTACTCACTAAGAGCTCTCAACAAGGCTACACTAAAGAGCTCCGCTAGATAAAACTAAGCTACATAGCAAGCTCCCAATTCTAGCTACACTAAAGAGCTTGCTACAACTAGTTTGTGGAAAGTAATAGAGTGAGTAAGGTGATTCTACCGCCGCGTCGATGAATGAACCAATCACAATATGGTGACAACCAATTCACCGGGAGACTTCCAATCACACAAGAGACACAAGATTTTCTCCTGAGGTTCACGTGCTTACTAGCACGCTAGTCCCCGTTGTGTCGACCAACGGTTCGGCGGCTAATAGGTATCACACACCTAGCCCACCATAAGAAGTGCCGCAAGAACCTACCCACAAGTGAGGTAATTCAATGACATGAACAATCCACTAGAGTTACCTTTCGGCTCTCCCCCGGAGAAGGTACAAGACCCATCACAATCACCGGAACCGGCCACGAACAATCACCAACACATGCCGAAGCTCCAAGCCATCTAGGTGGCGGAAACCACCAAAAGAAACAAAAAATCCGCAGCCACAACGATCCCCAAGTGCCATTAGATGTAATCACTCAAGCAAATATACTTGGAATCACTCACAATCTCACTATGATGATGAATCAATGATAGAGATAAGTATGAGATGTTTGCTTAGGCTCACAAGGATGTCAAGTATGTTAAAGTGCCAAGAGTGTGAGTCACAAGTCGGTACCTTCCTATTTATAGAGCCCCAAGACTCAAAGAGCCGTTGGGCACTCTCGGGCTGACCGGACGCACCCCAGCGTCTGGTCGGCCAGCGTCTGATCGCCCTCGGCCGTCCACGTGTCAGCGCTTTGAATCTCGGCCATTGGATCTCAACAGCTATATCCCAATCACGCAACACTTAAGTTAGGACCGGACTAAATGCTCAAGTGACCGGACTCACCACTCCGTGGCGTCCGATCATTTATAGTAAGCATCCAGAGCTAGAAAATTACGACCGGACGCGTCAGGTCAGGAGTGACCGGACGCGCTGGTGCATCTGATCTTCACTGCGCTCGCCCTCGGAGCCGACGTCAGCGTACGTCATCGTTCAGCTAACACGACCCCTATGCGTCCGGTTGCAACAACTCTCCAGCGTCCGATCGCAAAACCGCCCTGCTCCTTCTCTACACGTGATGACTAGATGCACCACGTGAGTCAGGTCCAGCGTCCGGTTGCTCCTTTCCACTCTCGACCAGTGAGTGCTTCCCTGGCTATAAATGACCGGACTCTGCCTAGGGTCAGGTCCCACGTCCGGTGCAGTGTCTGGTCAGGGACCGACGCCGCCTTTTCTTTTTCTATCTCCTCAACCGTTTCGCCCTTGCTTCCAACTTGTTAACCGCAAAGTGTAGAACTTTTATGTATGTGTGTTAGCATTTTTCAAAACATTTTACAAGGGTCAAGGTTAGCACACTAGGTTACTAAATGAATATGCAAGAATCATGTCACCTAGTGGCACTCGATAAACCGTTTAGCCAAAGATTTCCCCTCTTTATAGTATGACTATCGATTCTAAATCACTCACACCCTCTATGGTGTCTTGAGTGCAAACCAAAAATGGCTCCTATCATTATACCTTTGCCTTGGGCCCATTTTTGTTTTTCCTCTTTCTTCTTTTCCAAATGTGAAGCACTTGATCATCTCTTTTGTGGCCATCACCTTCACCATGGTCATCATCTAGCTTCACCACTTGGGTT